GAGCTGCGGGATACCGGGGAGAGGCGGGGGGGGCAGCGGGGGTCGGAGCCGCCGGTCTGTAGCGGATCCCTTGGAGGCGGTCGGGGTTAGTTACAAAACTTTGTGCAGCCTGGCGCGGCCGCCTCGGGGGGCCTTCGCCTCTCTTCCTAAGGCGTTTTCCGTAAAAACTTTACCGACTTGTGACAGGAGCGGTTTGGCAGTTTGACAGTGTTTGGGGGTGTGGGTGTGTGTGCGTGTGTGTGTTCTTGTTGCACGAGGTCTCTGTCTTACTATGGGCGTTCAGCTGCACGAATCCTAAAAAACTCCTCGGATTTTGGGCAAGACCTGCCTCGCCAAATGAATAGTAGAAGGAGTAGAAACCGCGTTACTCACTGCTTGCTGTCCGATCGGCTGCTGCAAGCTCCATCACCTCCTAACCCTAGTACCCAAGGTCTGTCCTGGGGGCTCAGAAAGGGCCCCCCCCCGTGTTGCCCGGCGGGGTGGGAACCTGGAGGAGGTCAGGCAGCGGGCTGGGATTCTCTACCCTAAACTATTTGGAAGTTCTTTTCCAATTATGTGTGCCTGCGTGCAAAGCAAAGCTGGTTTCCTGCAACTCAGGGCCAGTATTCGGTGTCTTCTCAGCCGGAAAGTCACTCTCCTGTGCTCCCTGCCTTCTCCCACCCACAAGCATCTCTCTTCTACACGTCTGTTAAGCCACTGCAAATCTTTAACCCCGTTTATTATTCCATCAAAAAGAGCGTGGCTGACTACACAGGCGTACACATTGTCTTCCGCATGCTGCATTAACAATAACAGTTTGTTCATGCCTCCCATAAAAAGCAACAAGGTAGGTATGAATAATGATGTGGATCACTGTTAAAGGCCAAGAAATGAATAATAAATGAAGGTGAATCGAGAGCAGGGACTCTCCCACTCTTTATGCTCTTGTGTTCTCCTCAGAGGCAGGTGTGACTCGTGTGTGTCCCATTCAGAAATGTAAAAACAATCCCCTCGTCCTCCTGCATGTTGCGGCTGCGGCATCCAGGAGTAAGGAATAAAGGCTTGATCTGTGGAGGGGAGAACAGCAGAGTCTGGTTTCTGCCTTCTACTCCTTTATATCTTAGCCCTCCTGCATTCCCACAGCTTAGTTTAAGGAGAACGGTAGTAATACCTTTAATTTGCCATTGCTGCAGACCTTTGACCTCATGGGAGTGTTGCTTGCACACCGTCCCTGCTCAGCTATGCATTAGGGACATAACTTTACAGTAAATTTAGCTTTGTTGCCTCATTAGGCATCAGACATACAGCGCTGTAGTAAAGTCTATGTGCTCTGTAATGATTCAGCTGCCAGAAGGAGAGACTTCGAACGACCCTCGCAAGCAAAAGCCTGAACTTAAATTCCTGCCCCAGAGAGTGTATCAGCAGCTCCTGCTCAAGTTCAGAAGTAACTGCTGGCGCAGCAGGGTCCGGTAATTTATGATAATTTAAGTTCCTTGAAGGACCACTTTGAAATCACATTGAGATTGAGTTATCTTGGAGAGTAAATTAAGCAGCATTTAGGCTGGCAGTGGAAACTCATTCATTAATTAACACTGCTTGAAGGAATGAAATTCTACCCGTATTTTCAAAATGCTCCTAATCCGGATTGGTTTTACGGCTTTCCCAGTTCTGGGCTCTGATGATCAGGTTCTGTCCTCAGCTCTAGCTCTGGGACTCCTGGGTGTGATCCGGGCTCCAGGATGGGTTTGGCCTGTGCCATCAGCGCTTGGCCACAGCAAGGGGTGAAAATGGTGATAGCTTCTGCTCTGCTTTGCCTCTTTCCTTCATGCTGAGCACCCTTGGTGCCGCACCCTGAGGTTATTGACAGTGTTTGTGGAGTTCCCAGGGGCTTCGTTGTCATCTGCAGAAGAGGATAGCATTTGTCTTATGGATTTAAGACATGGGTATGTCTTATGCGTCATATATATGCCTTGCATGTCTGTGTTTAACTCCCGCTGGTTTTAATGGATTAAGATCAGCCAACAGTTGCCAGATTTGCAGGCAAACTCCAAGCTTAAATTCACCATCCATGGTGAATGGAGCGAGGGATGGTGACCCAGAGTGGAAGGGAGCTCAGGATTTCTCTTACTGAAGTCAGGTGCCCAGCCATGCACATAGTGGGCCAATTCTGCTCTCATTTACACCAGAGCAGTTTCTGGGGTGAGAACTGAAGTTATGCCATTGGGATTCAAACATTTAAAAAAAATAATAAAGAAGATATCATTTGAAAGTTACAGCCTGGCTTTTCCCCTTTGCCACCACAATCTTCATGCAAAAATAATCATTCAGAACATCAGCAGAGAATCTAAGATACCACAGGGAATCAGCAAGGTACCTATTGTCTACTGCCACGCAGAATTAGAGTGCAGTACATAAAGGGAGAACACAGATGGCTGTAAAATTTGAGCATAATATTGAACATGGTTTTTTGATGTTGCAGAATTGCTCACAGATAAACCATAATTTCGCGGGGGTTTTTTTCTAGCCAAGATATTTTTGTGGCCCTAAAAACTGTTTCTTTCAGTACATTTTAACAAAAGAATGGGTTTCCTCCATAAACCACTACAAACTGGTACAGCAGATGTCAATTTATGTCAACATCAGCTGATTTTCTTCTCCATTACCCTTTCCTGCTGGATCTTTGCTTGTCTAGCAGGTCTTGTCTTCTTGACATCCAATGTCACGTTGAAGGTTTTTTCGCGTTTGGTGCTAGAAAGCTTGACTCGATTGTCAAAAATTGGTGTCGTCATCCGCATGATGGTCGTTATGCATTATTGATAGTGATGGAAAACTCACGAATACAGGCGTCCTTGCTGCAGGGCCTTAGCCTTTTCCTTTGGTTGATCATCGCTTTATCTTCTCTCTGCATTTTAGTAATAATGTCAACAGAGACATTTCATGCTGCCTTCACCACGAAAGAGTGGCACCACCCTGGTCCCGGTGCCGCAGCCAAAATCCTCTTTCCTGATGTCATTCGAGTGGAGTTATGCTGTTTTTTTACTTTATCACAGAATCCTAGAAAACATTCTGATTATCAAAAAGCTGTTTTCTCAGGGAATCCTAGCTCTTACTGATGCAGAATTAAGAGCAAACTCTTGTACAGCGAGTACTTTGAAGTTAATAAATAATTCATGCATTTTTCCTCACTTTTACAATGTAACTCATAAAACTGGGAAAATAGCATTAAAAGGAAGTCCCACTAGTGTATTGACTAGTGAGAGAATAACTTTTTAATATAAGTATGGAAATTAATTCATAAAAATATGAATTATCTGCTAACATTATAAACACAAAAAGTAATATAAACAAACTGTGGAAGACATAATAATCTTTGAACAGGACCCCAGCTTGCCCATTTCTGTGGAGGGTGCCAGCCAAGCCTCATCCAGGGTACAGAAGGTTTTTCCAACTCAATTTAAACTCACCGCTTGCTGTAGCAGTCACAGAGAGCCTTTATTTGGAGGGATCCTAGACTGCTTAACAAATCAACCTGGAGCCTGTTCCCAGCGTTCATGTCTTCTGCCATAAAATGAAAATACTTCTGGAGTGAAACAGGGTAATTGCTTAATAGCAAATACTTTTATAAAATATGCAGAGCAGAGCGGGAGAGGGCTTTATGGAACATGAGTGCATTTGTCTTCAGCTTTCTGGCTCACCCCAAGGAAAACTCTCAAAATCCATTGTACTACTGTAGGTACTATCAAAATCCACCCTCAGCGGCTCAGTACTGACTCAGAAGGAAGGGAAAAAAAAAAAAAAAAAAAAAAAAGCATTGCATTGATTGAATGAACTCAATGCAGCTTCCAGCAAAGCTCAGCATTTTTTGGTACGATCAGTAAAAAAACCCCGAAATCCATTCAATTTGCTGTGTGTGGTGTGTTAGAACCCTCTCACAACAGACATGGCTGCAAACCTGCAGATATCTTCGAATGCTTTCACGACCAAGGCTGTCCCACAAGACAGGTTTTGGGGAGATTCTGCCCCTTTTGTAACTTGCCGGGTCTCCCTCGGTGTAGCTGGGGGGAGGGAGCCTCTTGAGAGTTTTTGAGAAGAGCCTTGACTTTGTAACGCCCTCTATCCCCTGAAAACAGCCCAGAATTAGGACTGTAATGGCATGCTGCATAGCTCATCCCTCTTCCTCTGGCATTTGAAGAGGAGAGATAATTATGAAGATGGTTAATAGATGGAGAAGGAGGATTGTTTCATTCTTTACCTTGCCTGCTTTTGCTGCAGTTTAGTCATAATAATGAGAGTTTTTGATAAGTGAGCCTCAGATTGAGTCACTGGTATCTCAAGTGAGTAAATAGATTTTGGTATTAGTCTGAGGCACTGAGCAGAGCGATCATGTGCTGCTCTTGGGAGCTGGCGGGCAGAAAGGGGGAGGCAGGCATCTCTGGAGGGGGTCAGCATCCTTGGCTCGGGGGAATTACCTTGAGATGCTCTGGGTCAGCTGACGAGGTGGCTGAGCAACCTCCATGCTCACTGAGGCCCGTGGAAGATGGAGGCACCCAGTAGGTTTGGGGGTCAATATGCCTCCTGGTGGGACCCGGGAGTGGGGACGTCCCGGGGCAGTGACCGACGGGGCCGTGCTCTCAGCAGCGTTCGTGGCACGGCGCGTTGGAGGGGGAAGCCCAAGGCGCAGAGCCCTGTGCTGTCTCCTAGACCCCGCTGGTTCTCATTACAGTCTTTTGCTCGTTATGCACAGACACACAAGGGGAAAAGACTTTGAAATGAGTTCGTTGGTGCATAGCGTCGCAGTTTACATTGTGAATTCAAGAATAGGGAAATATTAGCTTTGAGACACAAGGTAATCGTTGACATAGTCGTTTTTATTTTTGTTTTTACTTCAGTTCGACAAATCCAGGAAACCACGAGCACAAACTAATGAAATGATGCACTTTTTCCTGTAATGATGGAGCCAATAAAAGGCAGCCATTGAGAATAATGTCCCAACAGCCAAAGCATTTCATCAATCTCAGCTGCTGCTTCTATGAACGTATTATATAATAATGAGTATTCTTCTGCAAAAAAAAATATTAAGGTCTTCTCTCTCTCCTTCCCCTAAATATCACCAGGGGAAGCCATTAATTCTACTCTAGTGTTAATCTATTCTATCATGAGGATATATCCATTAATGGATATCATATATCCATTAAACCTTCCATGCTCGCACAGAAAGAAATAACAATAGTTCATTGTTAAAAAGACTAAATGATGGTGGTTGGTTGTTTTTTTTTTTTAGGTAACTGATTATATATTTGTCTGACTTTTCCTCCAGGAGTCCAGACTCCACATGCTGAGACTCTTTTATCTAAGCAGTCCAGAACCTCTTTTCCTTGTTATTGAAGACATAACTGGCTTCTTGCTTTCAGGCTAACCAGAGCTCAGTCCTTGCCAGACTTAACCCTTTATTCCCAGCTGCAAACCTGAGCCTGCACGGATTTGGGGAGCAAGTCAGGGAACATGCATTCATTCAATTAGTAGCCCATCATGAGTTGGAAAGAAAATGAAAGCTGCAGACAGGTCCTGGCACAGCAGACAGGTCCTCACGGAGTTGGAAAGCAAGTGCTGGGCTTCTGGCAGCAGTAAACCAGCATCTTCAGTGATAAAAATCTGACTGCTGTAGCATGGAGGAAAAATCCATAATATTCTTAATCATATGAATATTACAGCCTCCTTGGGCTATCATTGCCGCTTTTCCTGCAGATTATGCATGTATTTACACTCAAGTCATACTCGCTAAGTTATCTTTACTCAGAAGCGTATATACTTTCAGCATAAAAACTGAGATTGTGGAACACAACTCAGCAACAAGGAGTAAATTCACGTGTATTTCAAATCATAGAGTGGACAGGGCCCAGCTCGGGATAGTTAAGGAACCTTGTTTAAGTGCTGTGAACTTTGTGGGATGGGGTGCTGGAATGGAGGGCTTTGAAGGAAAGCCTAATAAAAAAAGCTACCTAGCTGTCAGCATGTCTTTGAGAAACAAGTATAAAAAAGTGCCTTTTTGATAGCATACAAATATTTACAAAAAAAACCAGTTGTAATTCCTGTGTAGCTGGTCAGTGGGCCATTCAGCGCATGGAAATTCCAGCAACAGGCTGAATCCTGGGCTTACTGAAAATGAACCAACAACCTAGGCTGCCAGGAAACAAAACCTTCCTGTTATCTGCCCACTGTTTTTAGAAAGAATACGAAGCCAGTACACAATTCATAATATTTGATATTGCTGAGTTATTCTCAACTATTCTAAAAAAACAGTTCTCGGGGTTTTTTTTTTATATGATTCCACTATGTCCCTGCTAATTTGCATGTCTGATAATAACATTAAATTCTTATTCAAAATCCTGTGGAGAAAATAGCAAGTTTGTTAACATCCTTGCAGAGGATTAAGCATGACCTGAAACCCGGAGTCTTTATAAGCACTTCTGTGCCTTTCCAACTGCTTTTACCTTATCATTTCCGACTTAAAAGGCTATTGTTATGACTGCCACGTTGTAATGCATGATTTATTATGTACAGCAGGTGACTGGTAGCTAACCTTTATCTCAAAATGAATATTAGTGTTTGTTGGGGGCTTTCTTCCTGCAGCTTTCCCTGGGAGGTTCCTGTTTCTGTCAGTGAGAAGATGACAATTCATATTTTTACCAAAGGATCCAGTGAGTCATCCTATTAACTGCACTGAAATACATGCTTGCCAATCGTCCTGCCACGGTGAGTCTGTGGGATGTTGCATTCTCTTTGGAAATGTTATTCAGGAGTCTGTAGTACATTTGGTAGTAGAAATAATCTTTCCCTAAAGCAACAACTTCTCAGTGATGACCACAGCCCCAGACAGACCAAATATTGCATATCACACCTTTTTTTTTTTTTTTTTTTTTTTATTTTGGAACAAATGAGAAGACTGGCTGTGCCTCATACCATGCTATTTACAAGGGCTTGGTTTGTTTGAACCTGGGGGCGGTGTAAGAAGGAACCTGGTGTGCTGTGGGAACTGCTACAAAGGCATAATATCCCTGACCTTGAAAATGTTGCTCTGTGAGGGGATCCACATGCAGCTGAGAACGTGAGTCATGATGGAAAAATTCAACATCCAAAAAAACCCCAGATCTCCAGGATGACATAACACGGATTACATATTCATACTGATTGCCCAAATTAAACTCCTTATTATTTTGTCCCTCCCGAGAACTCCCAGCTCGTCGAGCCAATATCCTGTAAGGTTCCAGCAGAGGTGTAGGTTACTCGGTTCCTTCTCCCAGCTTTGTGCCACAGGAGAGCACGGCTGTGCTGCTCTGCAAATCGTTTCCATCTGGGTTCCTTGGGTTGGGTTGGAGAAAAGGTAGGACGCATTTTTGTTGATAAAGTCTCTCTTTCTTTTCTGCTTCCTTGTTCTGCTCTCGAAGGTGATATTCTGTGGCACAGTCCAAGCAAACTGCCTTCTGCTTAAGTGTGTTTTGTGCACCATGCAACCTTATCTCGCAGGAGAAGAGCATATGGCCTTGAGTTATTATTTGTTATTTCAGGGTAACTAGATGGTAACTGTACTGAAAACTTATGGCAACTCATGCGTTATCTCGTGATAACAGGATAAATAAACAGTATCTTCACTGCATGCATTAACATTAATGGAAGGAAAAACTCATGAAAAACACTGTCAAACCAGTTTAAATATATCCCCATTATAGGATGCCCCAGATGCTTTACTGCTTCTACTTGTCTCGTACGTGTTTAAATTATGACTGGGACTCCTTCCACGTTTGACATTCTTGCCTTCGGAGCTAATGCCAGCTGCAGTCCTTAAGTCACTGAGCATGCAAAATACTTTAAAATGTCCAGCTTAACAGAGAAATATATCTCGGAATTAAAATAAAGCTTTAGCATGGAACTCATTAGTGGTGCATATACTGTGCATGCAGCAAAACCAGTACAGAGATCTTAGGGGAGAATTGCAATAGTTTGAGTATCTCGGGGGTAACCCTCAAACTCTACAGCACCCGACGAGACGTTTTGCTGGATCTGCAACCTATTTCAAGTGCAAACGATGTAAAGGCAATTGGAGCTTTAAAGTATCCCTTGTAACGTTGTAAAACAGACAAACAGGGGAGCGGATCAAAGGGAAGAGAGGGCAGCTGACACGGCTGCACAAAACCTGTGTCAGATGCATTCTGCTTGAGAACGCCAGCACATGGCAAACCCTGTGAAAATACACCGAAGCAACATTATAGAGTATATCCAAAGAGAATCTTAAACACTTTATCAGTAAAATGCAAACTAAATTCGATGAGACTGTCCTCTCGACTGCAAGTATCTGTTTCTATGAAAGTTGTGTGCAACACAAAGACTGTGACAGATTTTCCTCATTCAAATGTAAAGCCAGATCTGCTTTTTTTTTTTTTGATGAAGCTGGTGTACGACAGAGCGCTAAGAGGTGATTAACTAAATCTTTTAGCATCGTTATATAACCAAACTCACGGTTGTTCGGTCCAAACTCTGCTGAAGAAAATTAGAGCCTCTATTTTCAATATAAAAATAAATAATAAAAATTAGCAAAACCATGTTTAATGATTCCACGGTAACTAAACATTTTTCCACATTACAACCTCTTCATCAGATGAAGGTGAGGTGACCACTCAAGGACAAGTTGGAACTTGAATCAGGGAAATATTTTTCTAACCTTATAATAAGGATAATATATCACAAAACTTGACTAGGCTTGATCCATCTTAGTCTGTGCTTTTCTAGGCAATTTATGTAAAAGAAAACACCATGAAAACTACTTTTCCTCATCGCTTTATCTGTCAGAGATATTAAATCAGGCAGGATTCAGGGTCCATTGCAGTTTATAGTACCATTTTAAATCCCATAAACAAAAAACTAAGAAAAATCACTCGGAGAGAGTCTCAGTAAGTTACAAATACTGATGAAGTGAGGAAAAAAACCCTCTTTCAATACACAATTTCAGGCTATTTGTTCCTTTCACTGACATGATGCTAGTGTTTATGCAGCTTTCCATTTGCCCAGTACAGACTTTTAAGATAGGAAAGCGCTGAACGTGAAACACGTGAGATACTTTGAGGTGTTCATGAGGAAGAAGTTACAGAAACTCATTTCTTTGACAGGGCGCAGCAGGGCACATCTTCACATATATGGTTACCCCAAACGGCGTAATGCTGCTCTGGCAATGGGGCAGTGAGCTATAGCTGCTTCCAGGGATCATCCTCCGTGGCAAACATCACCAGTTTCCAAAGAACGAAGCAATTTTCCAGCCTCTTTTCCCACTATCTGACCCAACTTGGGGTCTCGCTGGCATTTGGTTTTGTCTGCCTGCTGTGGCCACGTGCAGTGAGTTGCATTCCCTTCATCCCTTGATCTCTTGTTTTACACAACTTTTTGACTAATTGTAGCCTTGATACTGCTGCTGATTTATTATAACTGAGACTTACTTGCATTAATAATAACGCCTGGCATTAGCCTGAGCACTTCGGTAAATAAATTTGTCACTGGTTTAAGGCATAAGGTTCCTAATGTCTATAACATTGCCTGGAAATTGTTTTTGTGACTAGACAAGATTAAGGAAAAGAACAAGAGAAAGTCCTTCTAGGAAAGTGCAGGGTTATGTACTGGGTTGCAAATTAGTAATAATAATAATAATAATAATAATAATAATAATAATAATAATAATAGTAGTTTATTTCGGTCTATCTGTAAACTAATTATATCCTTGACAACTTAATTCCTGGTTTTCGTAGGACATTTTCCTTCCTTGTCAAAGCTGAAGGCATTATTTCAGCACAGAATTCTTAGTATTTATCAAAAGACATTTCTCAGATATTAATGTTGAACTCACAAAGCATCCCCGGATTCTCCAGAAATCACTTTCGAGAAATGACATTTTGAGGTACGACTGTTCAACACGAAAGAGATATTTACTGACATTACCTTTTCCTGTCTTTTTTAAATCTGAGTATATTGCAATAAAATCTAAAATAACTGAAAACATGTAGCAATAAAGGAAGGATTTCTAAGCTTATTTAAGGATACTTCTATCTTCTGACTTTCAAAAAGTGTTTGAAGAGGGTCCTTCTGCTAAAAAGGGGGATTGAATTTCCACATTCCCCTCTCTAAGCCCTTTCTTTTACAGCACAGTGTTCACCTTGGAAAGCTCTCTCGAAGTTTTGCAATATTAAACAAAGCACATAACAAAAACTGCTGCTTATACAACAATTCTGACAACTCTTAAATGTGCTAGTAGGTCCTTAGAACTGGTCCACCATAATCTGACCCAGTAATAACACAGATGACAAACGTGGCAACAACAAAAAAAAAAGTTTCTACAAACCTTCTCCTCCCAACCTTCTCACTCCACCCGGTGTTGTGCTGCTTCCAAGATTCACAGTGACGGCTGGGTTTTATGATGAACGTGTACTGGGGAGTCACAAAGGCTGTGAAGGATGGACACAAGTTTTTCGTAATAATAGTTTGTGGCAATAAAGGATTAAGCATGGGATCATAATAATAAATAGCTACTGGTAGTGTCATGACTGTGTAAAATAGGCGGTGCCGTGTATGGCAGTTTCTCTCCTCAGCAGTTCACATGATGAATCTTCTAAATGCCTGCGGAATGTATTTCTGAGTGCGTATGCAAACACATATACATTTGTCTGTTGTATATACGGAGTTACGTGCTGCATAAGCAACGCCAGGAACTGTGTGGTTGTGCCAGAGCTATAGGACTGAATCCAAGACCTTCACACCATCAGTTCAGTGGCAATTAAACTCCCAACCTTGGTCCCGGTTTAGCCAACTTTTAAAGCATGCGTTTAATTTCGAACACACGGTCAGTTCCATCCTTTAATGAGGCCGGAAAGGTGCGTGAAATTACCTGTGCTCTCGATTAGCTTGCTTGGGAGCTGAAACTACAGTAGAAGCATGTGAAAAATAGACCCGTAATATTCCCAAGCCATTTGTCAGTTCACAAGTTACTTGAAATTACTAAAATATTCCAGAACGTGGAATCTGAAGGCGAGGGAAGGAAAACATATGACAACGTCCATATGTAGTCACTACTGATTAAGAAACAACAGTGTAGACTTTTCGGTAGTGTTGTTACTCGGTATGATTTTATTTTTTATTCTTGAGCTTTAGCTGAAAAAATATGTTTTACCATCTGTCTGCAGAAACATTTCTCGATGTTTCAGTAGTACGTTTGCCGTGCTGGCAGGTACCCAAAAGTCACTTCTTCCACAGGGCTGGTGACTCACTGAGCTGTTTCAGATCGCACCTGACCACCACCTGAGTTTCTCATCTCCAGACACTTTTCCTCAGTCCCCTCAAAGCCCAGCTTTGCATCAGCCTGGCTGGGAGACACAGCTTGGTCTGGGCAGCGGTCCCAATTGCTGCCTCCTGAGAAACAGCCATCTACCTGCAGGGGATTTCATAGTTTTTCTGTGGAAAAGAGATTATGAAGTTCCACGTCATGGTACACTTCCCATCCTGTTTGTAGGCAGTATTAAGAAATACAGTGATCTTTATTTTGGTATTCTTTTCAGGTGCTCAGGGAGTGTTTCAACAGCAATGACCTATCTGCATTCCCTTGCTATGTAACCATTTCTTTATAGCAATTATTTTAAAATTATTTCTTGTTTCCCTGAATTCTCTCTGAACTAAGCTTGCACAAACCCAACAGAACAAGCCTTAGCTAACACGTGCAACATTAAGGGAGAAAGCAAAATTACAACGTTTGCGCAGAAAAAAAGAAATTCCTTTCAGTAATCAAAGCTGTTTTCAGTACCTCCACCTACAAACTGTTTAAACAGCAGCTTCCCATGGGTTGGGGATATCCACATCTGACTCAGGAGCGTGAAGAAGTGCCCAAAATAACTGTATTGACTAAAGAATTTTTGCTCTCTTGAGCGATGATGAAAGGTCCCACTCTGTCCATAAATGTTCTTTTCCTTTGCCCGTAGCTCAGAGCAGCAAACACAGCTTCAAACAACACACTGAGGCACAGCAGCCAAGCACTGGGGTTAATCAGCAAGTTATCAGGAAATCACAAGAGCTGCCTCTGAGTTATCATGCGATTTATGAAATAATATTAAAAACCGGTATGATGGGATAGCAATAAACCTTTCTGATGAACCGTCTGAGCGTTAACTACTCCAAAAGAACTGAGGAAGCATAAGCAGGCAAGAGGAGACACAGGATGAAGTGATGCCTGTGAATTCTGGAAGTTTTTTAGCCCGCTGAACTGGTTCTGTTCTGTAGCACTGACATAACTGTCAGGAGACAGTAGGATGAGGGGTTTGCATCTTTCATTTAGCCCTGGACACCTGTGGCCCAACAGTGTTTTTCATATTTCCTTAAATGCACTTCTTATTTACTTACTATAATCACACCTAATAACGTAAACATGTGATTAATTATATTCACAGTATACATAAATAAAATTTTAAAAAGAAAGCATTCGGATTCCCATTACAAAAATTCAATTAACATACAAGTTTGCGTATGATCGATTAGAAACATTTTAAAACCAATATTGTGGGGTTTGCAGCTTTTTCTCCCCTCATTGTAAAAAGTAAGTAAATTATCCGTGCTAAGGTCCGTTTGACTGCTAAATATGATGATACGAAGACAAGATGTAATCTTAAACTGAGGAGTTCCAGAGTCTGAGCTTTATCCAGTGTATTCTATAGGTGCTTCTTTACAGGCCTCCTTGAGAAGTTTTATGAGAAGTTTTATGAGAAGTTTTAGAGTATCAGTGCAGACTGGAAGGAGTTTTCTTATCAGTTCTGCAAACCATAACTTGGAGCACTGATACATTAATGTAGGAACACGGTCAGTGGCTTAGAAGGAAAAGATCTGCCTCAGAAACATAGTGGAAGCAGCTTAACAATTATCGGATATCCAGTTACTAACCGTAACAAGTGGTATTAAAGGATGCGTGCGTATAGATGATCCGCAGAGACTAAAGTACATCCAAGGCATATGACTAGATAAACAATGAGCATGTTGCATCATTCCTGCTTTTTAAACGTCTTCCTGGTCTTTCAGTAGTTTTAAGTATGCAAGTCACAGAAGATAGGGGGAGATTTCTAGGCAGGGTAGAAAGAAAAAATTTGCTCATTTTAGCTCTTCACAGTGAAATTTATTTGGAGTTTCATTATAACCATCAAGTATTTCATGTTATTAACCTCTGAGTAGTTTTAAATGAAGCCTATATGGTTTACTGCATTTACTTTGAGTCATGGATTATACAATAACACAATGGTTTCTCAGCAGGGTTAAAACCCAAGTACATTAAAATTCAATTAAAAGCCTCTGACAAGTGCAGCGGTTGACTCAGACTCCTATCTGGGATTGTGTCTCTGTAAAATGAACTTTGTCACTGCACCGAGGAAAGAAGATATATTTTTTGTTATAACTGAATGAAGTGTCAGGCTCTCTTGTGTTTGAGCAAGTTCTAACATTTGTCTCTTAATTTCTGTTCCTCCCTAGTTCGCCAACTGACATCACAATGACTGAGGACTTAGACCACAGATTCAGTAGTCTCACCTGGGATCAGATTAAAATCCTGGATCAAGTTTTAGCTGAGGCCATACCTATTCATGGGAGAGGAAATTTCCCAACCCTGGACGTAAAGCCGAAGGATATCATTCATGTGGTAAAGGAACAGCTCATTGAAAAGCAAATCAACGTTAGAGACATCCGCCTGAACGGTTCGACAGCCAGTCACATCCTAGTAAAGCAGAATGGAACCAGTTACAAGGACCTGGACATCATTTTTGGGGTGGAACTGCCAAGTGAGCTGGAGTTCCAGGTTGTTAAGGAAGCAGTTCTTAATTGCCTGTTGGACTTCTTGCCAAAATGCGTTAATAAGGAAAAAATCACAGCGCAGACAATGAAGGATGCCTACGTGCAGAAGATGGTCAAAGTCTCCACCGACCACGATCGCTGGAGCCTCATCTCGCTGTCAAACAACAGCGGCAAGAATGTAGAATTAAAGTTTGTCAACTCGCTGAGACGGCAGTTTGAGTTCAGCGTGGACTCCTTCCAAATCATCCTGGACTCCATACTGAACGTTTACAGAGCAGCGGACTGCAAGCTGACAGAAGACTCTCACCCCACTGTCATCGCCGAGAGTATGTACGGAGACTTCAACGAAGCAATGGACCACTTAAAATACAAACTGATTTCCACCAGGAACCCGGAGGAGATCCGAGGAGGCGGCCTCCTGAAGTACAGCAATCTCCTGGTGCGTGACTTTAAGCCAGCAGATGAGGCTGAAATTAAATCTCTGGAACGTTACATGTGCTCCAGGTTCTTCATTGATTTTCCAGATGTTGCTGAGCAGCAAAGGAAAATCGAGTCATACCTGCGCAACCACTTCATTGGGGAAGAGAAGAGCAAGTATGACTACTTGATGACTCTGCGTGGAGTTGTAAACGAGAGCACAGTCTGTCTCATGGGACACGAGCGAAGACAAACTCTGAACATGATCACAATTCTGGCTTTAAAAGTACTCGGAGAGCAAAATATCATCCCAAATGCAGCCAATGTAACATGCTACTATCAGCCTGCTCCGTATATCAGTGACAGAAACTTCAGCAATTACTACATTGCTCACGGACAACCGCCCATCATCTACCAGCCATACCCATTTCACATACAAATGCAAAGTGGCATGGTTTAGGAACACGATCACCTCCTCAGCACTTACACTCCTCTCTCTTTGCAGTTCTCTCCGTAATAAAGGCCTCATTAAAGCGAGTTTTATCATCACTTTTGGTTTAAGGACATATTTTTGTGCAAGTTGCCAAAGTTATTTGGTTGATTAATGTCTAAGTCACCGTTAAGCAGATCGTTAAATAAGTGAAATGGATATCATTCATGAAGTATTTATACCCCTACATGTGTTTGGGCTATACTCCTTTTTTTTTGAAATTACTCTAAATTTTATAAAATGAAATGCACTAAGTTCTGGGTTCTAAAAAATTCTTAAGATGAATTTAAATAGTGTAAATGAAAAATGAAGCCAATAAAATACCTCTCAGTAGAAATGCCTGATTTTAGAAGTGATAAGTGTTCTGGGTACGTTGAAGTAGATCATCCATCAGTTATACCCATGCAGTTCCAGCAACATTTATTTGCAGCCCCTTTTGCGAATATGCATTGATGGGCTGTCTCTTGGTGGTTTGAGCTCTGCTTTACAGCCTCGGGTCTGATCACTCTTCAGGTCCAATCAGAGACGTGAGGTCCCTCTCCTCACCAGAGTACTCTTTAGTAAGGGTTAGCAGGAAACATCCCTCCCAAGAGCAGACTCAGCAGATTTTGTGCATCCAGAATTTCCGCTGATCCGAGTGAGAGACTTGGCAGCTTAAGTAATGCAGTGTTGGACCCCAGGATATGCCTCGCAGATAATGAAAGTTGTAAGACATACAACTATTCTGATTAAATTGGTCTTGAAAAACGAGGTAATAAAATGAGAAAGGTGAAAACTGAGCACATAGGGCTTGCTTTCTACTGCTGATTTGTTATCGATCAGAGATGCGTTAATGCATAATAAACAGAGTCAGGAAAAGACCAAAAAGCCCAGGACCGCGTTGTTTTTAGGTGAATTAAAACAAATCCTTGGCAGTGGCATTTGAAAAAAAAATATTTTATACTAGCGACGTCCTGTATGTGTTTAGATACTCGCACGCATACGCTAGCAGCAAATGAAGATTCCTCCTATGACCAGGAAGTCAAACGTTAATTACAAGTTTGTGTGCGTGTGTTTACCAAAGATCAGTTTTAAACGTGTCACATAAGTGCCTCCCTGTGCCAGTGGCTCCGTGAACGTCGTCATGCTGTTGGCAATCATGCTAGAGAGCTCCTGAAAACCCCTGAAAGGGGAACGTGTGCCCTTGGCACCGCACCGCTGGGTCGTCGAGCGCCGGTAGCGCTGGAGGTCAGAGAGGGCACGCTGCTTCCGTCAGCAGGAGCAGCTCTGGGACATCTGGATCGAGGCTCCTCTCACCGAAACTCCTCCAGGTTAGACGCTCAGTAAGGTACAAGAAGGAGTAGTATGAAAAGGAGATTTAGAATGGGTGTGGTTGTAAAATTGGAGCAGCCAGCTGGAAATGCAAGCGGTAGAGTTTCTTCCATCCGATGCTTAACGTCGCCGTGTCGTACTACAAGTCCGTTGCTGGTGCGTCACTCTGCGTCCTCATCCTCCCCGCGTTTAAAAACGATGGCGTTTTATCTCTTTACAACAGGTGTCGGGTCTTAGAAATTTCTTCTACTTGGGAAAGAGTGTTTGATTTATTTTACACAGAAATAGGCTACGTACCGCTATTTTAAATCAAACATTTCTAAAATTTGTGAGGTCTATGAAGTCCTATTGCCAGTGAAATGTAGCTTTCCCCTTTGCCCATTATATGCCTGTACAGTAGAACAAAGAGCTGTTAAAAGACAACTTTGCTGACCATCATCACTAAAGTCAACTCTTTTCTGTAAAATATAGTGCAAAAAAACAATGTTTCTGCAACATAAGAAGGGTGTACTAATCTACTTGGAATCCGATTCATTTTGTGATGTCTTTCACTATTATTTTTGTCCATTTTTCAAATGTGTCCAATTCCGTGTCCAAAAGCACACTTTATTTCTCTTCCATGAGTATCTTTCCATTGGCTAAACTATATTTAATAAAATCGGCAATTCTAACTGCTGTGTTATCAGATATGATAACGCTGTATTTGCCTGTAAGCACTCCTAGGGAATTCCCCCTGTCAGAAGCAAAATGGAGTGAAACATGATGGATTTTTTTTTTTAATTGTGCTGTTTAGATTACAAAGGGAACCTTTAAATTTAGTTTGGTGTTTGCCAAATAAAATAGCATTGTGAAATTCTCTAAGAGCCTTATGCAGGTTATGTCCCTGAAGAGCTGGGAGCTGGACTGCGCACAGCTGGGACATTCCGATGGTTCTGCAGGAGTCAGGCATCCAAAGGCCTTGAGTTTCAGGAGGAGCTGGGCTCTTAAACTCCCTAAATTTCTTTGAAAATCTCGGTCCATCTGCATTGGCCTGTGCCCTTGGTGTAACGTAACCACATCAACTTATTACTCCTCCGCTCCTGGTTTCCTTGCTTGCTGGGTGGAGAAATGGGTTGATCTTCTCAAGAGCTGGGAAACAACACGTCACGTACAGGCAATGATCCATCCCGCCGTGAAATATTTCAAAAAGTGGGTTTTTTTAACCAACAGAGAAATATGTATCACCCTGTATAAAGGACTATAATTCTTTCCTGAAGCAGGCATTGTGAAAAGTATCAGGAAGGGTGAAACGAATTTGTATAAACCAGCCTGTCGACTTGCACAGCAACTCTTACTTAAATATATATATATATATATATATATTTAAGTCTGTGACACCTCTGTTTATAGACCCAGGTTAGATGAGGAAGGACTCAGTCAAAGTCCATGGAGTTAGGGGGAAGATTCCACCTAACTGACAGGCTTTGTGTGAGACCCGAAAAAGAGTAAAGGACTTAGGTAAAGGTACAAAGACATCAATATGCAAAAAATGTCTCAGGTATAAATAAACCCTTTAAATTTATTGAAAAAGGTCTTGTATTTCTTACCTAGAGGTAGCAATGTTGAGGGTTAAGTGAGGTTTATGATTTTATATATGCTTACAAGTATAAAATCTCACGTATCTACACATACAAGGGCAATTAACAAAATCTGATGGTTTAAAATCTTTCCTTCCAAATGTTTTATCGATACCCGGCAGCAGTACTTGACCTGGAGATTTTTTTTTTTTTTTTTTCAAGGTAGTAGTGATTCTGTAAACTCATGTTAAAAGGGGGATGATGTATAGACTGCTGCTTGCAAAACACCGATATCAATGTGTAAAACGGAATATTGTAACTTCTTCTCCAGTTGTCACTGGTTTTACTACGTGCAGATCTAAATCCACAGAGAGTTTTCCCAGTACCGATCTCCTGAGCTTCATGTTTACATTATAATCGTATCTTGTTGTTACAATCTGTTCAATAATTATAATACCTGGAAATTGTAATGCTGATTTATTTAATCACATAAAACTTCTTAACGTTTACAGCTTAAAGTAATCTAATGTCGTCAGGACCTACGTGTTAAAAGTTTCAAGTGCTTTCCTAAAAAAAAAAAAAAATGTCATTTGAATTTTGTGTTATGTTGTAAAAGGCCTATTTGAAGCATATACTTTATGGTAGTTTCTTTAAAATGTAATTTGTGAGCTTTATACTCGACACATTACACAGGATTTCGCAATGGGTGAAAGAAACGTACAATTGTCCTCTGTCGAGATATCGCCTGCCGTGTTACACTGAGCCTGCAGATCTGTGAAATAATGGATCTGATGTACCACCGTGTCGCTTCACTTTTCTAGCTGTGTCATTCGACTGACGTCAGAGAAGCTACGTCAGCATAAATTCGGAGTTACACAGGTGTGTATCCGATGCGATTTGTAGAAATATCTGGAGAAGGGACATCAGAGAGAGTTTGGCCGGTCAGCATGGTTCGTACAGCTCAGTTTTTGTTTGATACGTTTTTCTATTAAACTAAAAACGGAAGGCTATTCCGGACAAAGCTGTTGCAGATGAAAGAAGTATTTCATTTAATGTGCCATCTGAAGCTGTTGAAAAAAAAAAAAAATACTGTAATGCTAAAAATGTGTACTAATCACACAAATGTGTAGGTCATTAATCCACAGTGTTGACTAGTGCCTTCGGGTATTTGGGGAGCGGTCATTAAAATAACTTTCTTGTTTAACGTATGGTCTGTTTGGAATACCTTCATTATTCTGGCTGGACATCAGTTCTAGCAGGCAGACTCCTTCCAGCAGCCAAACTGGCAGATTAAACCTGCAGAAATGCTCAAGATTGGGTTACGGTTCGTTAGGTCAATAAGCCACTAACCCAGATTTACCGCTGATCCGCCGTCAGACCTGCGCTGCAGGTTACAGAACAACCAGATTCTCATTAATATTTTTTTGATACATTTGCATGGCTCTACACTAGTTGTCAAACAGGTTTGTGTCAAATATTCACATTTGAAGTGCCTAAATATATATTTATGTAATAAAAACACGACTGTCTTGCTGGGTGAATAAAATTCATACTTAACTTGACAAACAATTTGACTTTACATATGCCTAAAAAGACATTTTACCTACGCTGAATGCACATTGCCATAAATCTAAACTCATGTTTATCCGGGCTGTAGACTTTTTGTCAAGTATGGACACGGCCAGTGCCAGTGATGTTGGCCCAAGGTCAGAGAAACTCCCACAAACTCCCAAGTTTTCAGTTGGGCAACACAACCACACTCATCACTATTAGATTTGTGGTTGCTCAACTGGATTTTCTGGGTTTGGTGGGTTTGTTTGTTTGGTTGAGTTGGGTTTTGGGTTTTTTTTTGGTTTATGTGCTGGGTTTTGGACGTCTCCTTATTAACTTAATCGCGTTTTTTAAAAAGAACAAGACAATATTGTTCTTTCTTCCTGGGGGTGTCGGTGGACTGTGAGATCCTATGGAGCATCCAGAGCCTTACAGAGGAGGGGAGGGAACACGCCAGAGGTTTTAGCCCGGTGTGAGAGCTCAGAAACTCCTGATTTGGGTGTTTGTTGCCTTTTAGCCTCTGACAGTGTTGACTGTGCGGTAAAGAGGCTCATTGTGGTTCGCACATGACAGATTTGGTGGGAATGGGGAGGACAAGCAGCCGGGGTTGGTGCGGCAGCCTGAG